TAGCGAAAGACGTAGCTAACGAAACAGTTCTCGGAGTGTTAATCAATTCTGGTAATCCTGCAGAGCCGATTGTTGTACGACTCTTCACGTTATAGCACGTCCAACATTGGACTATAGAGGAGAAGAAATAATGTTTCTTACGTGAATTAAGTGGCACGTAAGTTGGTAGATGTAGCTACCGAAAAATGAGTAGAAGTTCTATGTGACTTTCATAGATCTTTGCTTGCAGTGACCGGTCTCCTTTTCATGTACTGTCAGAGCTCCGATAGGCGTTAGCATACTTCCTCAACCTCAGTGCAGCAGTGAGAACTGCTGCTCTTTCTTCGCCCTAAAATCATATTTCTTCCACTCTCAGCATGTTTGAGGAAGTTGGAATTTTAACTGGTGATTGCCCGCAGGTCGCGCGACTTCACCTCTGAATATTTCATCGAACTTGCGTAAAAGGCTCATGTCGGTTAGATTGTCTTCATGTCATTTGATGAGCTTCAAATTTTTCGTGTATATCATTTTATATTTATGGGTATGACTTTTGTTGGGTAGCCAATAAAGTTTCGAGACTGCGAGCCTGTCATAATGGCTCAGATCAGCTGAGGGAGATCATGAGATTTCGTTGACGAGGTTTTGGAGGTTCATGGTTTCGAAAAAGCTGCTTCCGAAAGAGCTCGGTGAAGTAGCTCGGAATCGAGAGAAAACTGTATTATAGAGAAAGAATGGACCCTGAGTTTCACACAAAAGCTGCTTTGGTTCCTGTCAGCTTTGAAAGGAAGTAATTTCCTAACCGAGAACAGGAGATTGATTCGCCAGAAGTCATTCTATTTCTTTCGCTAATTAGGTAGTTGCTTATGAAATAACTTTTTCCCACTTATGAGACCTCCTCAACAGTTTAAACCGTTGGTTGCATAGTTCATGGTACGAGCAGAAAGTGACAGAGCATGATTGAAAACGCGGATGCCATTAATCGCTCAAACAGGGCATGGACGCAGTGCTTCCTTGAAAAGGTTCGCGAGCGAGAGAAGGCCGAGGAAAAGGGCTTGACATCCGTGACAATTGCTAGTTGCAATCTCACTGTAGTTCGGTGTAAATGGAAGTTTATTTGCGAGATGGATAAAACAGAGTTATCCTAATCATCTCTTTCGGAGATGTTAGCTATTAAGTATGGTAAAAAAAATGATAGTTTCAAAATGTCTTCCGTAGTCAGTGTTAGTAGTAAAGTAAGATTTTTTTATAACCTCAACTACTTCTAATAAAGTTGCTGGAGGGTTTGCACTCGTTCTCACCATCAAGAAGGATCGTGACATTGATTGTTTGATGAGGGAGTTCAAAAGTGACTTTTGGTGAGCAACTCATTTTAGGTCTTACTCTTATTCATTGTTCACTTGGGTCGTTTTTCTTTTTTACCGCCAATGTATTTCTGCATGTTAGTGGGTTGATACTTCGCCAGCGAGAAGTCGCCGAAAATACGAAAAGCGAACCTGCGCCGTCTTGCACTCTCTTTTCCTATGCGTGCAAGGTGTTGGGGCAGCTAAGGATTCTGAAAAGCTATGCTGCTCCACTCATTGAACGGAATATGGGATAGCTTATTCCGCGCAGCGTTACTCAAAGCGGGTGTTGCTTACTCATCAAAAACAATTGTGTTTCAGCTGACAAAAACTTTGCTCTTCCTTTCTTCTCCGGAGCTCTCCATAATTCATTGTGATCTCAAACCGGAAAACGTGTTGCTTTGTAACCCTAAGCGGTCGAAGATAAATATCATAGACTTTGGATCTTCATGTCAGATTGGGCATAGGATATATCAGTACATTCAGTCGAGGTACGTTATTCATTTTCTTCAGTTTCTCTTGACAACTGAGATCATTGCAAGTCTCTCTATGGTGTTGTGTTGATTCATTGTTTTCAAAACTCAGAAGATCTATAGTTGATGGAGTGTAAAGCTGCTCTGTCCTAAAGTCGAACAATTCGTTTCAATACTGCTCACAAGGGAAGGATACTTGGTCGCAGCCGTCGTTTAAGATGAGATGTATACCTACGTAAGTGGCTTCGAACGCTGGTCTCAAATCTGTGTTCCAAATCTGCGAAACGATTCTGGGAACAGAGTTACAGAACCGGTGCCTCCCTGTGTTATACCACTGCACTGATCGGATCACCGAGTCGAGCAAAGCCCTTACCTGTGCCACGATGGCCTAGCGAATAGCGTGGTGGACTGGTAGGCATGACATCAAGGTTCGGTTCCTTGGTGCATGCCCTCGTTTTGCTTTTCCATAAAGTGCCGTCCTAAACGCTTGCAAAAAGTTTTTGGGGCTCAAGGTTGGGCATCGACGGGGCTCCCTCGCAATTTAGGACTACTGGGAAGGTAATACAGGAAACGTTTTTTTTTGCCCCTCACCGGCCCAATGAGGTTGGAGCTCACCCGAACAAACGAGGAGTTCTAAACAATAGTTCAAAATGGGCTTTAGAGGACTCAAGGAGGATGGTTCCAATTGATTCATCGGATCAAACGCCCTCCAAAATGTTACCATCGAATCTTTTGATCGAAGGTGGTGTCATCATACTTGATAGAGGACTTTCGTTCTTGCAGCATAACGTGGACACCATATAGGAAGAGGCGGTAATGAAGAGCTTTTGAACCGTACATATCGGTGCTATGCAAACAAGCTCGTTATCTTTTGCAAGGAAGTCGAATCCGTGAAAGGTGATCACAATAACCCTCTGCGGTCGCCTGATGAGGACAACGACGACGGACCTGTTGCTTCGCGAATGAAACCTCCCACGTTTGTGGGGATATAGAGGCTCCGAAGTGAAACGTAGCCTTCAGGTTTGTGATCTGGTGAGCGGATAATCGGTGCACTCGAAGCGGTAAATTATTGTTCTACAACATTTCTTCAACAATGCCAGTTAACTTGAACCACCGCTCCGAAAGCGCGGATAGTATTCCTAGAATGTGTGGACCGTATCCCTGCCGCAGAGGGCACTGGTCGGATAAGTCAGTCGACCGCAGTCTGCCGTAAGTACAGGGAGCTGCCAAAGATTTCGAAACACCATCTTGACTCTTCCGGGGTAGATAGGCGTATATATTCGAGGAGTATGGTAAAAAAATTTCATTGGATTACTATTCTCCGGAGTCCTAAATTGCGAGGTAGCCCCGTAGATGCCCAACATTGAGCCCCAAAACGTATGGAAAAGCAAAGCGAGGACATGCATCAAGGAATCGAACCTCGATGTCATGCCTATCAGTCCACCACACTATCCACTAGGCCACCGTTGCACAGGAAAGGGCTTTGCTCGGCTCGGTGATCCGTTCAGTGCAGTGGTCTAATCCGGGGAGACACCGGTCCCGTGACTTTGTTCCCAGAATCGTTTTGCAAATTTGGAATACAGATTTGAGAACAGCGTTCGGAACCACCTACGTGGTATACATCTCATCTTGAATGGCCACTGCGACCAAGTATCCTTCCCTTGTCCATCTCCAGCAAAACTCCTGTCCACTATCAAACTCCTGGACACTCAAGCCTACCATCGTCCGAACACTGAACGTGAGCTTTGAAAATCCGAAATATTCAAGTCAGTGTAAACCATGCGTAGCTCCTTCATCTTGCACGGATTGGTAAGGTGTATGGCGTAATCATGGCTAGAATTAAAGCCGACGATCTGATAGGTTTCTTTTTGGAATGCGCATTATATCTTCTATTCTTGGAACTGAGCATCAAAATAATCGCGAGTGTAAACGTTTCCAAATGCTTTCGTAAATGGCATACTTTATGCCTTACCATTGGTAGGCTATGTAGAGCATTGTACCGGACCCATGGCGGGTGAATACTGTCTGTCTGTTTTGATTTTGATCCCTTACTCTGTCCTCGCTCCTCACACTTTCTTATCATACTTTCCCTTTGCACATTTTCTTGCTTTGCACACTTTTGCCTCACGCTTGCTTTGCTGTAGTTCTTATATAGACCCGCCTTTTGATCTCACAGCTCCTCCAATAGTGCTCGATAAGAGTGAAGAAAACTCAGGAAATCCATTAGATCCCATACGCTTTCTGGAGGTTAGCAGTTATTATTATATATAAACTTTCCAACTGGGTGGCCTCTCTGGAAAAGTGTTGGTAAGGGATTCAGAGGTGGTCTGGCTCCAGGCATCCCAATTTTGTTAGACAAAGGCTTGGAGGTAGAGGTGCGTTTCAGAGAGAGTCCGGCAGTTGAACTAGTCAGGGTCGGTCACCTCACCTCACGACAACTTTTACAATGGCTTCAACAACAACTTTCATATGGGAACATGGGAACTGTGGCTGATTAGCTTTCGATCGATGATTGACGCTCGGTATCTCTGTGCCCATAGCTGAGTCTTGTATGTGTCTTGTAACACAATGAGTCTTGTAACAGTGTGGATGTGATCGATTGTACTAAACCCTCTCCGAAACCCTTCTTGCTCGCATAGCTGCCCTTCAGCTAATATTCTCCCAATCCTGTTAAGGATGACTCGTGTGATTACAGACAGCAGGCAAATTGGGCGATAATTGCCAATGTCGTCTGGATCTCCCTTCTTATACAGCAACACGGTCTTGCTAGTTTTCTACGGAGTGGGCACTTTGCATTGCGACAGGTACCGCGTGAAAAGCCAGGCCAGGGTTTTGATAATGACTGTCGGAAGGCTCTTTAGATGTTCTGCTTTGATCCTGTCGGGACCGGGTGCTGTACTAGTCCTCATCGACGTGATGGCATGTCGAATTTCGGAAGGGAGAACTGAAGGGACGACGTATCCTTATTGCCTAAGATGGTAGGTAGGCATGTAGACGTGGCTGTCGAAGAGATCAGAGTAGAAGTCGTAGATGACCTCCATCGCCCTTCGGTATGCAGTAAAGTGGCGCCAGTACGACAAAAGGAAGTCACCTTGGTCTTATAGTTGACGAAGCCCTGGCGGGCCTTGCGAGTGCTCTTCCCTGCCTCCGCTGCTTTTCAATCATAATCATCCCGTAATCACACGTTTCAATGCTTACACATTCTTGATCAATGCCCTTTTTTACTGTAAGAACCCGCTCGCACTCGCGGACATACACATGGAACCAATCTGGAGGAGGCAGCATAAAATGCAAAAGCAGCAACGCCTCGAGGATCCGAACCATCAACCCAGACTAATCGTCCCAACTCGAAGTCCACATCGCTTTCCACGACACCATCCGTCGCTGCCAGTAGCTCAATGCGCAGTCTACTGGCGCCTTCCACTGTGCGGACAGTCGACGCCATGGATAAAACAAACGATGCTTAGTGGGTTAAAACGGCAATCTCTGACGAAATCATTTTCACTCCTTTTTTGCCATTGAGCGGAAATGGGCCATAGTTCTGTAGTCAGCGCTCATGCTCGGCTCTGAGATTTTAGCAATCTGCAAGCGGTCGTACCCAACGCCGCCGTATCGGGGACTCCCTCAGCACCACGGGAATGAGGCCCGTTTTTGTTCCTGTTTTTGGCAACTGAGTGGGCCCACTCTTAGCCGTGTGGACATGCAGACGTGCCATTAAAGTTATATACGCAGAATTTTTTCAATATATAAACACAATTGAGTTTTTTCTAATGTATAAATATAATTGAAAAGGGGGTGGGGGTGGTATAGTGGCAAGTGGCGCATTATAACCCACGCACGGTCAGGGGTTCGAATCCCGGGTCTATGCCCGCCTAGGCCAATCAAGCCTTCCATTCCTCCGGGGTCGGTGAATTAGTACCAGACTCGCCTGGGAGGATAAAAGCACTGACTTGTACATCAGCTGACCACCGCAAATCATTTTATAGGCCACATACGCACTCATTGCGCCACCACGATTCAGAATGGAAGCCGAGTGCAGGGGCGCATCCCTCAGACGGGATTGATTAACGCCAAAAACGCCAAAAACGCCGCACACCCACCGCGTTGAGGTGGTAGGCCAGCGGGTGGAACAAAAAGACAGTGAAAAATATTCACAAAATTTTCAACCATCTTCCCCAAAAAGGTTCAGGGCTCACTCTGGCATTCAGAAAGATTATAGTATCATGTTAACGTATCGGAGATTTGTTTCCACAGTTATAGTATATTGAAGACAATGATTACAGATGAAGATAGCCGAAACGCAAACAGTTCGCCTTAACGCTTGATGTAGTATCACATTCCACTTTCACTCCAAAATCAGCAGCTGAAGAACTTTTCATACAATAGCTCTATAGACTTTTGCGTTGGATGGTGAATATAAATATTTAAAAGGTTAAACTACTGAAGGTTACTACTACTACTTAAGATTATTTACTTGAGATGTATCCAAATAAATAAATAAATAAATACATAAATAAGAAGAAGACTGCTTTGTCACTGATATCGAAATATCTTCATAGCATATCATTAGAACTCATTTGACTCATACGCTACTGTATGTGGACTGTGCCGTACGCGGGCTCCAGTAATGTGGTGAAAACCAATGCTCATACTTAATGAAGAGTATGGTTCACGAAAAAAAACAACTGGATGAATATTTTTCTCATAATATCAGAGATAGCGATATTGGCTGATTGCATGCCACAATGGCTACGACTTATTCAGTAATTTCCCCGGAGACGGCGTGTCCACCTTACCTCGAGATATCTTTCTCAGTGTAGATGTTCTGCCGTTACGAAACAACGCTCAACAGTTATTCCATCATCGTGGGCACCTTTAGTGTATGTTTGTAGGTGGGTGGGAGTGCGTGAAATAGTGTCGCCCATAAAAAAAAAATGCAACACGCATCTGAGCAACTGAAAAGCATAAAACCGGGCGGGGTCTAGGTGGGCGGTGAGTGAGTAATTTTTTGGTTGGATTTAAAGTCTAATGGGCATACCCGAAATCAGGGAAGCTTCGTTCAGTCTGGCAAAATGTGACCTCAAGTGAAACGCGCCCATTGCAAAAATTTGCAGCGAGATTCAGAAACGTTCTCGAGTCCAGGAGAGAATTAGCAGGAGCTTTCGAAAGGGGATAGGACGAGTGTCTGTCCGAAACGGGGAGGCTGAAATCTGACATTGACAATCCTATTCGGAGCAAATGAATCAAAGTCAGGAGAGAAAACTCCCCCTCTATAGTGCCCATCACTTACACATTTGAATGCAATTCTAGCCTCACCGTGTCCCTAGCTTGCGCACCAGTATTAGACATGTCAGCACGTGAACTGTCATTGCTACTGTCCTCTACCTCCCTCTGAGCTGAACATTGGGAAAAATGACTGTGGCAAGACCGGATTCTACTACGGAGGACGGGGCGTGCGCGAAACGAAACGATAGTTCATAACTCTTGTTTCCGCGAACTTGGAGATTTAAAATTTGAGAGGGTCAATACGACTCGATGGGAACACGGATGATTTGCGGCAGGGCTGAACTTGTTACTTCAGACGTAGAGTGTTCGATGTGGTACGCATACAAGCAACTTTATTTAAATATGGGCACTACCCAAGTAAAAATACGCAGCCATATTGGTAATGAGTAGGGAACGGGTCAAGTCATATACTTGAATACAGACGATTGAGGGTACTTCGCTATCGTATGCGGGCACGCAGGAATTGTGTCGGGGTGTCTGTGTTTGATCAAAAATTCATAATCCATGTTCTTAATATTGAGCATCTAAATTTTTAAGAGATCCAGGTGGCAGTATCGGAACGGTGGTAGTTGATAGTAGGAAGTGAGTCTGCCGGATAACGAAATGGGCGAAGGGGCGAGAAATGAGCCTTACTCGAGTAAGAATGCTCAATCATGTTGCCTCAAGTGATTGTAATCCGAGTTGATGCACACGTGTTGAGCTCTGTTTGTGGTAAATTATGCACTGTATTCACTCATTTCCAACATTTCTGCGTATTCTTACTTGAGTAGTGCCCACTTCTCCGTGTTGCTTAATTACATTCAGTCCTGCCACCCACCACCTATACTTTCATCGGACTCACTGTATGTCTGCCACATCTTAACACTCTAGGTCTTAAAGGCACCGTTCCGATAATTTAGGGGTATCCGGTATTTCACAGATAGTGATAGGTAAGGCCTACATCAGGACAATGGTAAAGCATAAAACGCGAAAAACAGCAAAAAAAAGAAATATAAACGGTCAAAAAAAAGAGAAAAAGGGGTTGGACGAGTTTGATAATGGAAAAACGGCGGTTAAGGAAATTTTCAGGCGAGTAGACGAATGCGACGTAATGTCTGCCATTGCACACAACACGCTCAAACGGCTGATTTTGGCTTCTTCGTTAATATTATTTGTTCTACTGGCGATATTAAGATTTTGAGATTATTGTGCCTGATCCTTTTGATGACGGCTGAGAATAATTTACTAGAACGGAATAGAGCAGAACATTAGTCGAATAGTGGAAATACAGCCGAATACTTGTACCAGAAGGAGGCGGTCGATCAGCTGACCGCCTCTGGCAACTTGCCAACCAGCTTATCGATTTTTTACCAACTTCGCTCCAATGCGAAAGAGGTGAACGGCAATTAGATTTCGTAGTCAGCCTAGCGAGGGGCGAAGGGCGACCGTGGCTCACTCTCCGGCCCCTTATTGTGCCCTATCCAGACCGTTTTCCGACCTCATTCCTGCACATTTGGTATCAGAGGAAGCGTCGAATACAAACCATGAGCATATCTCCGAAACCATTTTTTCGTGAACTGTGCCTTTAAGTAATAGATCCAGTCCTACTAAATACCATCCATAATCCTATCGTATCTGATATGCTACGTACTACTGAATTAAGCAGCACGAAACGAAATGAAAATACATCATGGAGCAAAAGTTGAAAATACAGCACAAAGATAGGTTGGCTAGGCACCATATTGAGAGGCGCCAGGATCAGAAGTTTGAGTTCGCCTTTACAATGTTCCAGGGTCCAAGGAAAAGTTAGTAGAGGCTAGCAACAGAGTGCAAGCTGTCATGGCAAAAGGGCTATGCACCATATTGTGCGGGCGCAATACCGGTAAAAAAGGTGCATAGTCTAGCAAAGGAAGAGTAGTCAAAGTTTATGAAGGTAGTGTCGCTACTATGGTGGGCGAGTTAGGACCAAAAATTCACACTCCTGATTGAAAACTCAACACTCTGGGCCAAAATTGAACAGAAGCTAACCTAGGTAGAGAAAACCTCGGGAGTGCATGAAATTCGGCGGAGCTTAAATTCAAAGTCGACACTCATGTTAATGTTCCAGATTGTCTTTTGGCCGCCTTCTTCCCCGCTTCACTCCCCCCAGAACCTTATAGACGTAGTGCATTCAGTCTTCAATGAAGTGTAGCAAGTATACAATGGAAAGTGTGCTGTCTTGACATCTGACTATGTCGATCAATTAATACCCATAAATATCAATTAGCTCTGTAGTCGGCTGAATATTCACTTTAGCATGGCTACTTTTACTGTAGCGTTCAAACCCTCAGAAGTGAAACAGGTTTCAAGCGAATTGCGCTTGGTCAATACTGTTCAGCAATCCCATTAAATATCGTTATTGTTGTGTACTTGACCGTTACTTGTAGCTTCCCTAACTAGTTTAGAAATAGGGCGTTCAGTTAAAGTGGAAGCTGCAGGTCAGGGAACTCTAATTGGTTAGTACCGATTTTTATGACAGTGATCGTGTATTCACAGACACTCCCTTCAGACGCAGAATTTCCTGAGTTCACGGTAATGAGGAAAATTCTATGAGGAGTACGCCACAAATATGATATCGGTCGATCATTATCATTAGAAATCGATTTGATGAGTAAATAGCCGTTTCTTGACAGTCTTGCTCTCTTTAGACGTGGAGTGAATTCGCGCCGCTGCGGTGTTGGTTAGTACACCGCTTTACATACGCTGCTTGCACTAATGATACAGCCACACAAGAATTCCATCAAAACTCATGTTCCAGGGCACTTCAGGAAAAGGCTTGATATGGAAATTGTGCCCTATTCAGACCGTAACTTCTAAACCGACGAAGAGTTCCATCTCAACAACATGGACAATTTTGTCTTCACTTCTTCAAAAAGGTCACTTTGCCTATGCTCACACATGGTACAGCCACATCGTACTTCCCCGTCTTTTCCATTTTCACCTCATACAACTGCTTAATTTGTGCCAAATTCTCCAATATCAAGTGATGGGTAAAGGAAAATTGCTATCCGATTTCGAGAAAAGTCAAACTTTCCCTCAAAGGTGGAGCAGGGACTGTCAAATCGCAAAATCACTCGAGCTGAGCCGGTGCCACTCATTTGTCGACAATTTCGTCGGGAATCCTGCAGTGTATGGGAACCA